CAATCTTCTTTTTCCTATCCTCACAGCACAGAGAAAACCCCAAGTTCCCAAATAAGCAGGATTGTTTTTCATCTATGTTCCTTTTTTCTGCCCTGACTCCCATAAGCTGGATGGATTTTAGTGATTTTTTTTTTCAGAGGTAGTTCATTCACACCTTTTAAAAGGAAGCCTTAGAGCAGACACCTGCCCCCAGACCATTACTGTACACAGAGAGGGGCAGCTGAGCAGGTTGGAGCTGGATTGACCGTGGATGCTGGGGCCTGAGGCAGGATGAACGCCAGTCCATCTCTCCGAATAACTTTTGAAGGTCGGAGGTGATAGTGCTGCTTTGGGCAGCAGGTGGCACACTTACACTAGCATGTAGGCAAGAGAGAATGGCTTTTGTTTTCCAAAAATCATACTGTATGACTTCCTGATCTTACAGAAGTGTTAAGTTCTAGTAAATAGCTTCCCCCCCAAAAAAAACCCAACTGTTAATAAGAATTTCAGATGTATATTCCTAAAATACAGATGATACAGAACGAGGGCTAAACCTGGAATTACATTTTCCTGCTTGGTAAAGCTGCTGGATAAAGCTAAAGGAAATTATTTTTTGGCAGTTTTCTTAATTCTGTCTTCTCAGGTTGTTACCTTTCTAAAACACTATATACTTAACCTGCCTCAACCCCGCATAATAGTGTATGGAAATTCTCTGCCCAACCTGTATGTGTGCTTGGGATTGCCCTGACCCAGGTGCAGGACCTTGCACTTTGCCTTGATGAACTTCATGAGGTTTGCACAGGTCCACCTCTCCAGCCTGTCAAGGTCCCTCTGGATGGCATCCCTTCCCTCCAGCATGTCCACAACACCACACAACTTGGTGTCATCTGCAAACTTGCTGAGAGTGCACTCAATCCCACTGTCCATGTCACCAACAAAGATGTTAAATAGCATGGACCCCTGAGGGACACCACTCGTCACTGGCCTCCACTTGGACAATGAACCGTTGACCACAACTCCAAGTGCAGCCATCCAGCCAATTCCTTATCCACTGAGTGGTCCATCTATCAAATCCATGTCTCTCCAATATAAAGACAAGGATGTCATGTGGGACAGTATCAAATGCTTTAGACAAATCCAGGTAGATGATGTCAGTTGCTCTTCCCTTACCCACCAATGTTGTAACCCCATCATAGAAGGCCACCAAATTAGTCAGGCAGGATTTGCTCTTAGTGAAGCCATGTTGGCTGTCACCAATCACACCCTTATTTTCCATATGCCTTAGCATAGTTTCCAGGAGCATCTGCTCCATGATCTTGCTGGGCACAGAGGTGAGACTGACTGGCCTGTAGTTCCCCAGGTCTTCCTTTTTCCCCTTTTTATTTTCCCCTTTTTAAAAATGAGGGCTGTGCTTTCATGTCATCATTAATTTCACATCACTTCACATTTGTCTTGCAATACTCATGCCATACCACCACCTTGCATTGCTGTAGCACCGTTTATTATACTGAATAGTGTCTTTGAATGTATATTACAAGCCCCATACCCTCCTTCCAGTATCTATACACACTATGTGTAACAGGACTTACTAGGTTTAAGACATGTTTAAAGGCCTTTGGAACAAGTATTACAAAGTGAAATAAGAAGAGACACTTATTACATAGTTCTACAAGTTGCAGAAATATACAGAATCATTCCTTCAGGATTTTTCTGAGAAAAATGGGGTGAAACATGGTTGTTGAAGTCAGAAAGGTGCCCAACAAGGCTGTCAGGACATAGGCTCTCACAAAGCAGGCAAAGTCTTTGCAAGTTTTATAGAGAACTGAAGGCACAAGAACTACCAGTAGGGAGAAGGAAGTGATGTTGTTTTCAGTTAAAATAAGACACCGCTAAGATTTCACTTTGCTGCTGAAGAATTTTGTCCTTTTTCAGTAAATCCTCAAATGATTCTCCTCTGGCTATTTACATCCTGCAGAGCTTGAGTGGGAAGTTCTCTGTGATGAGATGATCATCATGCAGAACGACAACAATGTTAACTTCGAACTCTGGAAGAAGGAGGGGGAAAAAATAGAGAGTTCTGTATGAATCTGAACCATAGCAGTCAGATGAGAGGCAGGCAGTTCCTCCTCTCAGACACAACACTTCACAGGCCTCTTCCAAGCTGTTCCAATATCCTGGATTTTCCTGTGGGTAGGGATGAACACTACTCCAGGCAGAATCTCACCCCAGGCATTCTAGACCTTGAACAATTCCTAGAGAACCATGGCTCATTCTAATCTTTGGGATTCCTCTGGATTTATTTCAATATCACTGAAAAACTATGACATACTATGAACTCTGCCTGTTGTCCAGAAATCAAGATTAAAATATTTTGGGAAAGGCACCTCACACTGCCATGCACTGTTTAAAAGCTGTAAACGGAAGAGTTGGGAAATGGACTCCTCCCCTGCTGTCGGCATGTAACATGGCCTTAGAATCCTGCATTATGTACAGCCTTATGAAATTTAACACCAAAATACAATATACCTGCAAGCTATGAAAATTTTTTTTCAAAATAAAATCTACGTTTAGATATTATATCATGGTGTTCAAACCAAACTCAGTATCTCTACTTAATCCTAAATGGAGACAGAAGACAAAGTCAGGTAGAGTTAAAAGAGGGAAGCCAGGCATCAAAATAAACTGAAAATAATTGTCCTTTTTTAGAATCTTCATAAGTATATTAAGACTGTTCTTAAAAATAAAAGTAGATACTGCACTAAACAATAAGCATTTGTCACTTAAATTACTATTTTAACAGCCAGAAATGGCAAAAAAAAAAAAAGAATAATATTATTTTGGGCAAAAATCATGGTACATATCAGATGCAAAAATGCTCTTGGGGGAAGAGATAAAACAGGCAAAGCTGAAAAACTGGTTGTACACATTTGTCCAAGATACACAGCAGAAAAGGGAGGGCTTCAGTTGCGAAGGATCCTAAAGCCAGGGACTTGTAGCTTTGATCTGATACAATAAAATAAAGAACCAACAGATTCCATCAGGATGAAGGGAAGAAAAACAGACTAGCAAAGAGAATTTTTGCACTATTTATTTGAACAAATAAGGAAAATCCTGAATTTCAGGTGTTTGTTATTGAAAATGTTGGATTTTGGCAACAACAAGCAGGAAGAAGTGGCTGGTGTAGATCAAGAAAGGCAAAGTCGCCTACAGCCTAACCTTAACTTTTTCTGAGTCTGTGCAGCAGGACAATAGGAAACAAAAAAAGGAAAGGGAATGGAAAGAGGAGTTCTCACTGGTGATGGGAAGAAGGGGTCATCTTGGCATTTTATTCTTGGGCTGTCACTCAAGTGTTTAATCACATATAATTTTTTGACAGAAAAAAAAAAAATTACCTGCCATTTCACTGCTTCTCCTGTCCCTTTACCATGTAATTCTGTTAGTCAGAAGTAGCTTAATTAGTTGCACAACTGGTTTTACTTGGAAGTATTCAGGCTGAATTTCTCAGTCTATGTGAAATACAGCAGACTACAGTCCTGTTCAAGAAACCTCTACAGGAGAACAGAGGGATGTTCTTCGTTCTTCTTGCAGCACTGTCAGCAATTTATCCCGTTACCTGCTGGAAGCTAAAGTGAAACTAGAAACTTGCCTCAGATGAGAGATGCCAACACAGCATCCAGACCTGCGCACTTACCAACTTTGAAGTTTGTTGTTTCCAGGGTAGGGCAGGTGAACAACCTGGGAAACACCATGTATATAGGAATGGGTAGGCCCCTGCAGACATCCCCGTCAGCAATCTGAATGTTCTGTATCTCTGTAGCATCTCTGGCGTAACCTTCCGCGCACCCTGGTGAAAGCGGGAAGTTCAGAGGAAGAGGAAAAAAGAAGAGAAAGGAGTGGCCAAAATTTAAAACAAAGATACACTGGGACTTGGGGAGGTATGTGTGGGCTACACGTTTTGCCCATTGGCCTGCAAGTTTTCACATGAGCACTCCGAGTTAAGGATCATTCAGATTATTTAAACTCATCTTTGGACTGTCCCACCTGAAGCACAAAACAATTTTTTACAAGTATATTTAATTATCTGGCTTTTGACAATCTTTCATATTTAAGCTGCAAGAGCACAGGTGGTGTTTACTGTAGTCAATTCCGCACACGCTCCCTTCACAAAGAAACTCACCGCAGGTCTCCACGCGTACTAACTGCAGCTCAATGCTTTTGACTGCAGCCTCTGCGTTCTCCACCACGAGCTCCCCTGTTAGGGGCTGTGTAATGATGCAGTTTGTAGAACTGAGATGACCTCTGATGAGGAATTTTGGAAGCGAGGCTCTCTAAACGGGGGGAGAAAGAGACACAACTGTAAGAGCAGACTAGGAAAAAGAATACCTTACAGAAAGACAGTTACCAAAATACATAGGAAATCCCAATAGTTGCAAAGTTCAGAAATGCCTTACGTAACTCTTTAAAGATGCATCCTTATGCAGATGCATTAAGGTATCTCTTAACTACCCTCTCCCCCCCTACTCCTTCCATCCACAGAAGCATTCTTCCTGGGATGAACTGACAAAACTCGGCTATTAACAATTAATCCAGGAGTTGGGAACTGCATGGTGAAGGAGGCGGGCTGGCAGGAACGGACAGGATGGTCAAGTTAAGTCAGCTGGCAGCACTCTAGAGTACTGCATTCTGGTCCCATTTTGTTACAGATTACAATACAGTCTATCTTTTCAGTGATTTTCCCACATTTTAAAATTTCTCTTATGGCCACTACTATTGGGAAGGAAGACAGGCGTTTAAAAATCTTTGTTTAATGCAAAATGTAGCATACTGCTTATGTACCAAGACACCAATTAAGGACAATTAATAAAGAGCTTGATTTGAATACAGGATCACACTTAACTTTTAATATTTTCCTAACGGCAAGCATGTTTCCTACATTTTAAGAAAGGAGCAGTAAGAATTGCCAATCGAGGATGACAGTCTATAAATCAGTTTCTGTAGAAGACCAAAGCAGGGGTTTGGTCCCCCTGCCCTCCCGTTTTTCAGGCCAGCAGCCATCACAGATACTCTCTGCCAGCAGAGAAACTAATACACCAAAAGGTCCACTTACATTTCAAGTTCTGGCAGGAGGCGTATTGAAACAGTCAAGTTTACTACCTGTATCTTCGGCTCCTATCTTCATCATCCAAATTGCTTCAAATTCTTTGAGCAGCCTGCTCTAACCTTCCTGTTCTTCTCCTCTCCCTCCTTAATTTTTTGTTACTGACATCTTTGGTGTTAGCCCCTATCTTCTAACCATCTGTTCACACTTGCTTGTGCCGTTGGATTTCCTTGCCCATGTAACTGATTTTTTCCCTTCTTCCAAACCAACCCAACTTTCTTCCTCCCAAACTGTTTGTTTTGCTTCTTAGTCCTGGCTGCCAGGAGCAACGGCAGAAAAGTTCTCCTCAGCTACTATTTAGACTGTTTCACTCAGATACCCAACACCCCTGCAGAATTTAGCTGTTCCACTCAAAACAAATCTTTGGGGGAAATAAAAAGAAAGGCATTTTCTTGTGTTTAGTAAACATGACCTCACTTGGGTATTTTTCTCCTAACTTAAATAACAGACGTTACATCCCTGGCAAAACCACCCTGTGAAATATTAAGTCCTAATAATGTATTAGTAAAATGCTTTTTTATTGTATGATCCCTAGCAGGTTCTTCTCATCACCACTGTTAGTAAACACAGAGTTGCTACCCTGCTTCACAGGGACATCATACAGCTACCCCTCGAAGTAGTGTGCTCAGGAACCTAAGAGACAGAAGGAATTTGCAGAACAAGAACTCGAGGCCATTTTCCTCAATCCTAGTCTACGAGGCTTGTGTTTTCATTCATGACAGCTGGTTGGTTTTCTAGGGTGACCTCCTTCAGGCTTAAGAATGGTCTATACCAACATGCAGAAAGTCAAGCAAAGGTAGGAAGAAACCTGCATGGATGAACAGGATGTTACTGATAAAATCTGTTAAAAGTACACAAAAGATGGAAGTAGGGTCAGGTGACCCAGGAGGAACATAAAAACACTGAGTGTGCAGGGATGGTTTTGGGAAAGCCAAAGCCCACCTGGAGTTAAATCAAGCAACATGAAGGGCAACAAGAAGGACATCTGCAAGTATACCAGTTGCAAAAGGAAGATGAGGGTAAACGTCAGCCTGCTGCTGAGTATGGCAGGGGACCTAGTGACAAAAGATATGAAAGACAGAGGTACTTAATGTCTTCTCTGCCTTGGACTTTACTGGTAAGTTCTGTCTTCAGGAATCCAAGACCCCTGCAAACACAGGGAAAGTCTGGAGCAAGGAACAGTTATCCTTGGTAGAGGAGGGGCACATTAGAGATATGGACAGACTGGATGTACACAAGTCCAGGGCACCTGATGGGACACACCTGTAAGTGCTGAGGAACCTGACCTGTGTCACCGTGAGGCCAATTTTGATTATCTCGGAAAGGCTGTCAGTAACAAAGAGGGTTCCTGAGGAACGGAAGATAGTAAATGTCACTCTTATCTTCAGTTAGGAAGATCCAAGAACTATAGGCTCGTCAGCGTTGCTTCATTCCCTGGGAAAGCAATGGAGCAAATAACCCTGGAAGCCTTTTCCAAACATATAAAGGACAAGAAAGTGATTGGAAGCAGTCGGCATGGATTCATGAAAACAAAATCATGCTTAACCAACCTGATAGCCTTCTGTGATGAAACAACTAGCTTGGTGGACAAGCTGAGAGCAGTGGATACTGTGCATGTTGGCTTCAGCACTGTTTTTCATACTGTTTCTCCTGACCACCTCGCTGACAAACTGATGGAGTACAGACTAGATGTAGAGATCAGACATTGAGGCAGACCGAGAACAGCCTGAACTGCAGGACTCCAACGTTGTTGTGATCAGTAGCACAAAGTCCAGCTGAAGGCCCGTCACTAGTGATGTACACCAGTGACTGAGGTCAGTACTGGAACCAATACTACTTCACATCTTCAGCGATGGCTTGGATGATGGGACAGAGTGCATCCTCAGCAAGCCTGCAGATAATACAGAATGGGAAGGAGTGGTTGGTGAACCAGACACTTGTGCTACTCTTCACAGGGACCTCAGCAGTCTGGATAAATGGGCCTATAGCATCCTGAGCTGCTTCAGAAAGTGTTGCCAACAGGTGGAGGGAGGCGATTCTCCCCATCTCTTCAGCACTGGTGAGACAAAACGGGGGATAGCGTGTCCAATTCAGGACTTCCTGGTACCAGAAACAGACTTAGAAGCAAGTCCAGTCTTTGCTGGATTTGGCCATGAAGACGGTTAAGAGCACGTGACATACAAGAAGAGGCTGAGAGCTGGGATCATTCACGATCCTGCAGAACAGAAGGCTCAGGGAGATCTTATCAGTATGTATAAATACCTGATGGGAAGGAGTAAAGAAGAAGTAGTCTGACTCCTCTCAGTGGTATCTAGTGAAAGGACAACAGGCTATGGGAACAAATCAAAATTAAAAAATTACTTTAAATGTAGAGGGTGGTCAAACACTAACACTTCCGAGTGGTTGCAAGTCTCCATCCTTTGAGATATTGAAAACTTGACTATACACGACTCTGAGCAACCTGCACTAGATGGCTCTGCTCTGAGCACAGGGGCTGGACTAACCAATCTCCAGAGGTCTCCTCCAACCACAGTGATTCTATGAATATGTAGAGTGAGGTCAACAATAGCATGAAAAAATGAAACAGCTGATTAAGAGGTCTGTTTTGAGAAATAAGTGGAAGAGTATGTCTAAATTCAGAAATCTGGGACTAAAAGCAATGGAAGACAAATTGGGAATGCAGAGGGGAGACCTAAAGCAGCAAAGCAGTCTTCTTAACAAAAAGAGCACAACAGGAAAATCTGGAAAAACAGAACACAGGTTTCAGTGGACAAACAGAAACCTGTGCTGTAAAAGCTAAATGACCAGGACAGCTACTACTGTTTCATAGAGGCTTCCCAAAGCCACATGAGGCTGCAAAAAAAAAAAAGAAAAAAGGCATAACCAAGTACCAAAATACACATTTTTAAAGCATCTTGGCTACACATGGTATAGAATGTTTTTCCTTGCTTTCACTCAGAAAAATTGTAAAAAATGTTTAACTGTTACTGAACAAAGTTCCACCTTACATGAGCTACCACAAGAGATCAGGCAGAATCACTTTATTGCTTACAGAAGTAAATCACTCCATTGCTTACAAAAGCAAAAAAGGAGAAAAGGGGAAAAAAAAGTTTATTATCTGCAGGGTGGCATTTAAACATTCCTCTCCTGTTCTCACTCACTCAGAATCACACAAGCATTACATTTAAAATAAAACAATAAGAAAACTCTTACCTCTTTAACATTTTGCAAAGTTTCAGGAGTAATTGTGAAGTCTACCGGGCTTGGCGTCAGTTTCCCTTTCTGTGACTACAAGTAATGAAAGAGTTAAACTGTAAACAAGGATTTAGAAAACACACAGACAGAGTATTAAAAAAGACAACAAAGTCAAGCAACTGTTGGATGTGTTGGCTTTCAGGATCGTTTTCCTACTGAAAGTATGCATCTATGTAATAAAACCTCTGCGATTTTCTGCCTTTGTTATTTAATAACTTTATGATATTGTCCAAATACAAGTCACAATGCATCACAAATCTGAACTGTAGAAACAGAACTGTGTCAATTTTTGGTTCCTCAGTGTTTGCTATTGCAATGAACCACAACAAGCTCTCAATTTGTAAGTTTTTAGCATAAGCTCTATCTACACTGAAAAAAAAAAAAAAAAGAAAACAAACCCAAAACATGTGGTTGACTACTCTAAACCACCTGGAAAAGTAGAAATACACTACCAATCTGAAGCATATTGTATGCTACAGAAAAAAGTTAAATTTCACATTTCAGTATTTACAAATAATTATGTTTTATATGTCACTTACAATATTTCCTTTCATTATTAGTAATTAGTAAATTTGGGCAGGGGAGAGAGGGGGAATATTATAAATGAACTTGCTCCATTGCTTCATATCTGTTTTTATAAACTCTCCCTCCTTGTTATTTTGAGCACTTAGAATTCTTTCTGCCCCGTTTCAATAACGGCTCAGGTCTCCTAAACCATCCTCATATTACCAGTAGACCCTCAGCTGATGGAATCTAATGCAGCATTGATTTAATGGGCTTAGCATTCCATCTTCTTTAACTGTAAAATAAACACAATTTGGTCCAGGTTAGCTTTCCACTCTGGAGAAGCAATTTTCGGGGCACACTATTACAGTTCCTCAGTATCTATTTACATCATTCATCACAAACCCAAGAAGTTAAGTCTTTCCGTAAGTGGCTGAATGGGTCCTGAGTTCTGCTGAGATGGCAGCCTGACCTCTGCATCAGGAAAGCAAGCTTTGCTTACCATTCATCAACCTCTCTCTCCATCCTTATCTCAGGGAGGAGCAATGTCTTTTCCCTCCGTATTTAGAGTAAGTGGCCAGCGCAGCATCAGTTATGAGACCCAACTGGTATGTAACTGGGAGCTCACGGTGCACACCACCACCAGTTGGCTTAACTTGAACTCTCAGTTAGGATCTACCCTCGCTAGTTCAGAACTCAAAATAGCTTCTGCTGCCCAGATGCAAGACGGAAGATATTAGCAAAAGATTAACTGCATTTTCCCATAAATGACAAATTCTGGCAAAGAATAAGGTTAAGGGAAATGGCACATTGAGCACTGACAGTGAGAATTATATGTTCAGTAAAATCTCATTAATTCACCCTGAGAGATTCATGATTTACTGACTTCTGATCTGAGAAGTGCTGTAGTGGGAACAAGAAATAAAACCAGGAAACTGCATAATATGTAACTTGTTCACTATTTTGACAAGTGTGGCTTACTTGGAATAATGGACAAATGAAATGTAGCACAATATATTTCAGAAAACAATTAAATCTTTCCAACAGGAAACTTCTTTATAGCACCTAGCTAAATCTTTAAAAAGGTACTATAGAACTAAAATAATGTCTTTCCATTAGACAAAAGAGTCTAATACTTTACTATCCTGTTAGAGTTCCAAGAAAGGATACAAACAGTATGTTCTAGCAAGTTTTGGGTGGAAAAGAGGTACTTCATTAGGCCTGCACGGACATCAGATGCTCTGGACGTGTTCACAAGTCAATATAAACGAAAAACCAATCTGACGTAGAGACTTCAAATAAGCAGCAAAGCGTTTCTTGTGAGACAGTCAAATCTCATCCCACAAGGATATCTCCACAGGAGGAAGGCTGTCTCCATGTGCTAACAGCGGGGTGTGGTGTTTGTTAACCTAGTTATCTTAGGGTACTGCCAACAATGGGCTTGCTTAATAGCAAAGGTGATTAAGCTGACAAGCTGCTTCTTTCCAGCTTGATGCAGTCCCAGCTTTCGCGCTTTGGGTCACGGCTCTAAATCATAATTATGCATCTGAAGAAGAGAAATCAGAGGTTTTCTTTTCACCAACGAACTCCCATTTCTAGGACAGGCACTGTGGGCGCCTGGAACCTTTGGTTAAGAAAAGCTCAGATAATTTGAAACAGTGTTTAGAAGAATGCCACGGTATTTATCTAACCACACCATTGCTTCAGAACTGAAAGGATGAATAGGAGAATAAACTCGGTGCAGTATAAAAACATCTTGTAATCCAAATCTTCTTTGTGATATTTTCTTTAAATGAAGAGAGAGATGTGTTATTCTAATCAGGAGCACCTGACCCCTTGGCTCTTCTGGATGCTTTTGCTTTGAGGCTAATTTCCTTTACTCATACGCATCTCACGCGTTGCTATTACAAATTACATGGTTTTACTTCATTTTTTAACATTACTGCCAAACTTCACTTAAAGTGGAAGAAAAAAAAAAAAATCTCACTTTGTATAGTTAATATAAACCACACTTACCAGTGAGTGGACAATGAATTCACAAGTCTTAGTTAGGTCTTTTGCCAGCAGAGGACGTCGCATATCACACCGTAGGGTATACTGGCAAGAACAGGATGGCAAAGAAAAAGAAGAGAGTCTTAGTTAAGATTTCCTCTCTCTCTTAACTTTTCATCTTTTTATTGTATACGTGCAGAACGTTACTGTAATTAATATTTAAGGCATTGTTTAAAATAGATCAGTAGGCAATGTACACACCAGTGATGGGGAGAGGGAAAGGAGATAAGAGATATACAATGATTTTAGATGCTCCCAAATGAAAGCTGATTTTTCCTTTGTGTTTACAGTCCCACAGTCATTTGCAAATACTTTCCATCTCTTCTGTGTTATGTCACAACCCAGGAGACTGAGGGACTAATTCACTGACAGAGAGTAGTATTCTTGCACGGCTTCAGCACCCAAATTACATTCAGTTAAGAGTGATTGCAGTATTGCTTTTCACAATACTTTGGGTAAGTGACTATCAGTAAGATGTATTCACAGCCCCTCTAATTTTACATTTATTGTAAGATTAAATTTAACAGTGGTAACAGTTATATGCATGTTTAATGGGAAACTGTCTTTAATCATACTTAGTAATGCACAGTAAAGCCTAACATAGTTAATTTTGCTGTTCACTGTTCAAAAACTTGCTGCCAATTTCCTCCCCTTTCTCCCCTAAAAAGGGGGCCATAAACCAGTGACTGAAAAATAGTACATGACCTTGGTTACCACAGTAATCATACACTTCAGCATCTATAACATAGCCTTTCCATGTCCTTACAAGATAGGGAATTTATTGGGGTGGGTTGTTTTTTTGTTTTGTTTTGTTTTGAATTCCTTCTTTATAGATGAGGAATTGGCAAAAACAGGTGTACTTAGTCTAAGAGACTCAGCTGCTAACTTCTAGTTCATGGTGTGTCTCTGCACATAACCTGAAAACGCGAGCAAGAACAAGACTGGGGAGCACATCTCTTTCCCCATCACAGACTATGGCTTCCACTGAGGTCAATCACACTGTTGAGCAAACCTTCTATTACCACACTACACCTCATTCAGATCAGGGAATGCTGTGCAATGAGACAGCAGGACCACGTGCCTTGCAATTTGGCCCACAGGCTCCCCATCAGTGTCTAATCAGAAGACCTGAATCTTGATACTGAACCCCCAGCTAATATACCAATACCTAGATCAAGAAATAGAGGCTTGCTTTTAAACTGCACTGGAGTCAGACAGAGTCTAGGAAGTGTTTCTTAAACAGCACCTTTAGTTATGGAAATGAAAAAAGAAAATAGGTGGTATACTGTTTGTAGTCTATTTTTCCTTTTGTTGATTTGGACAGAGAACAAATATAAGCATGTTTGAAGCACATGAACTCTATTCTTTGACTTATTTAAAACTAGCAAAGTATTTTTAAGCAGTTCAAGCCTGATTTCCTAGAAAACAGAATTAACATTCCCCAATTTATATCCATGTATCTGTTTTATCTGGTATCCGTGCACCGTAAATAACCTTGGGAGAGACTACATTTTCCTCTTCAGGAGAGCAGGGCTCTCAAAGCTTGGCTGAAATCTAATGGTTAAGCTTTTAATTACATTTTACCCCCTGCTTGTAAAGAGAAGCTATGTAGATGAGAGAGGGAACGACAAAACAAATATTCACCATTAAAGTACACCTTAACTTGCTTATGATCAGTATCAGTTGTTTTATCTGGATTATGGAAAACAACTCCACCAGTTTCACACCATTTTTGACATACCTACCACAAACAACAGACGTTACATTAGAAAGGCAAGAATGAAAAAAAGATACGGGAAGTACTTAAAAAAACATCTGAATGTAGACAAAAAACAAGGGAATTTTTCTTTTAGTTACTTCTGATAGGCTGATAGCTGGGGCTTTTTTTCGTGGATTTGTGGTTTGTTTGTTAGGGTTTTTTTAAATCTGTAATATAAGACTTACAGTTCAGCTCAATAGCTAACAGCTTTATACTTTGTCATCAAATACAATACTCTCATCCGTGAGCTACAAGTTGAGCGAGTAGGGTGGGCAGTTTTGCAACCCAATGAGTCTTCATCAGCACTGGTCTCAAAGTTCTTGCATTTAGTAGCTCTTTCAACATTTTCCTTGGAAAAAAACAACTAAAAAAAAAAGAACCACTAAAAAAACCGACCACCAAACCCAAAAACTCAAACACTCCTCAGTAAGAAAAATCATTGTCTAGCATAGTATTTACATTCAAGAGATGGCTGAAGGAAGACTTTCCCTCAAAAAAAAAAAAAAAAGAAAAACCCCACACTACAAACAAATGCACCCACCTATGGTAAGACAATTTTTAACCAAAAAAGGTTAATTGTCAAAACTGTGTTTCCACAAGATTCTATTACAAGCATGCAGTACATACAGATTTGGGCAGGAAATGTTACTACTCATCTCCCCAGGAAAGCAAACAATTCATGTTTTTGAGGATGCTACAAGCTCTCAACATTTTAGTTTGAGTCTTTACTATAAAATTACACAGCCACATTTATTTTGAACACAGAGACACTGTGGTGCAGTCTTTTTTCATGAAGGGAATGAATGTAGTTGTCTACAAGATAAGGAAGGATCGGATATACGTTACAGTAGTTCCAACAAGGTATTTCAGGCAAGGCATCTTGTCACTGTTCTGTTTATGCCATCTTTCTTTAAAGATTTACCCTCTATGGAAGGCCTGAAACAATGTGATGGAAAGATTTCCTCTAGTTAGAGGACGCTTCTCACAAATGAATGTAGGAAAACTGACTCTGAACACTAGGTAGCTTTGTCCTGTAGGATTTGTCTCTGTGTCTTAAAATGGATCTAGTAAGTCAGTACATTTAATTTTTAATATTTAAGTATTATCAACAGTAATCAGTTGCCTACTATGCTAACAAAGCCTCACTGATACTATGCTAACAGTACACACACTTGTCTTTGGGTATGCAGTACGATACAGATTATCTACAAAACGGTAAATGCAACTTCTTTCACAGTAAGAATCACAGCTAGATGAAACATCACCCTGTAAGAGAACTGTGTGAGATTTAACTGGTGTGACAAATACATTTTACCTTTTCTCAACCCAAAGCCCCTCTTTCCACTATGCTTTCAATTCTCTCTTGTATATCCCATGTTATATCTGATCAGTTTCATTATCATCAACTATTTCCAATTAAAAGCTTGAACTTGCTGGAAAAGAAAAGGGAACAGACATTGCAACAATTTTTTTTTTTAAAAGCAACATTATATTGATGGGATTCTGAGATCTCTGGATGGTTCCTTTGCCACATTTAAGAAGTGTTATTGCCTCTGGAAACAGAGCTGCCAAAGGGAAATAGAAACTACCCACAAACTAGTACTTGAAGGTTAACATGTATCACAATTTTTAATCCTTAGTTATATCTAGAAAATACAGTACATATCAGAAGAAGGCTATATTAATAAAGGGATGCTTATAAGCTACTTACTTCAAAGGTTGTCTAACTTTCTGCTCATTCTTCAAATTGAGAAAAGAAAACATATGGCACTACGAAAAGAAAACTTTACCACAAAACTTTATCCTCTGCTTCCATGGAATAAGAGATGCTTTAGAATATATTCTGCAGATAACAGAAGTTCAGGTTTTCCTTGAAGATATGACTGCCTTACCTGAATATTAACAAAGACACCATGATATGTCTCATAGAGAACTTTGTTCCCCTTCATATGCAATGGAAATTCAAATGGTATTTCTGTCTTGCCACTGGGAAGTTTCCCTGGTTTTATCATTTCAATAGTGCTGTTAATAATTTGAATAGGCTGCAAAGATAAATATTAAGAAGTTTAGGTTGAAGCAGAGTGACAACCCCATCGTTTCAAGAATAAACAACATCCACTAAGCTCTAATAGACTTCCTGAATTTCCAAAACCTCAGCTATTTCTTCACGACACACAGCTCTCCAGTCTTACAAGGAAAAGAAATATTAAGAATGCTTTCCTCAAGAAAATAATTTGTGATCAATTTTATAGTATATATCACACTAATCACCAAACATATTTGGAAAGCTAAAAATCAGAGTCTCATGTGCTTTGGAAAGTGGAGCTCCATTTTCTAAATTATGACCCTTAATAGTAGCAGCAAGAATCAACAAGTGCAGGTGCCAGCTGAGCAGTCTGGCGTTCCCTTCTACCTCCTCCCTGGCCCTTTCCCACCCTGAAGATCTGTATTTAGGGCTAGTCTCTCATCAGAACAATGGTTAACTATGATGCGACAGGAGCAGTTTGTGTGAAGATTACACTCCTTTTCTCTCTGGAGTTTTACTAGTATTTTCCCTCTACTAGAGAGGAATAAGAAAATCTATTGCTTCTACTGCTTTTTCTGTTTTCACTCATTCATGGGCAGATTATTCATACTGTAAACAAATTACTATGATACAAACGAAAACCTTAAAAGGCCCTGCACTGAGGCTATCCTAATTTAAGTAAAACGTTTTGCAAATGTAGCTATACTGCATCAGTCTTTCTTCAGTCAGTACAGCCATGCTGGTGTGGAGCTTGAGATAACTTTCCCTGCTAGATTCCAAACTGCACACTTCCAAACCTGGAGAGCAGTACAGAGGCCTTCCAGGAGCTCCGCAGAGAAACTGTCTGTGCACAGCCTCATACTCCACAGAAGGATCTGTGCAGGTCCTGTATCGTGCCTAGTAACACACAACTTCAATGGCCCCTGCAGGAACTACTGTGATACTGACTTACCTGGCACAAAAGTCCAATTAAACTCAGTCACTTTAAAAAAAAAAAAACAGACACACACAACATAACTTATTATTTTTCTTTAAACCATAGTCCTTCAATGCATCATCCAGTAACCATACTATGTTAACTGTATTTCAGCCCTAAATAAAACTTCTCAATTGGTGCAAGTTCCTCCCCCAAAACGTCATCATATATCCCTAGATAATGCTGAGCATCTCTCTGCTTTCTGTCATTCACATACCATGAAGCGCTGTGAGAGCCATTAAGGTAAGATTTAATTTGAGAAAAGAGACAGAAGTTTTGTGCAAAAAACATGAACCTGCACAGGGCTTACCTTGACAGAGTTATAGAAAGCTTCAAACACACCCACACTTTTGGCACTAAGCTGCAGATTTACTGATCCTTCCATTGTTAACGAGATGCCTTGGTGCTGGACAGTGTCCTTGCTTGTTATGACCACAACTCCAGAAAGAACTTCCTAATAAGAGAAAAGACAAGATGAAAGCATTTCTTCAAATAAATTTCTTCTACAGCTGTTACTCAGACAGCATGCTAACTGATTGTCAAACTCAAGAAAACTTCCCAGAGAAGAACCTAACCTTGTCAGAACAGACAAATAACTGATAACGAAAGCAATGCAAGGAAGAGACCTCTGTGCTTCTAGATTGTTTTTAAAAATATTCTCCTCCTCCTTGCAGAAGTACTAATCTGAGCTTAAATTTCTTGCCAAAGATTCAAGATCTTCCTCCTCAGGAAGATGAAAAATACCCTCAAACAACAATCGGGAGAGTTCATAATAGACAAGTTCCGCTTCACATGTTAGAATGAAATCCCGGAAGGAATTTTCATATGAAGAGTGGGACAGTCAGCCATGGGAGATGGAAGAGGAGGCATATCTCTAAAAGCAATGGCCAAGCTAAGGACAAGACTCACCTCAAGAGTGGAGCAGAACAGATTTAAAATAAATAAAAACAAATAGTTGCTCTGGCACACAAGCAAATTCCATGCGGCATGGAATGACCATATGATTCAAGAGATGCGTCACTTATCCCATTTGAAATGCTTTGTCTACAAAACTGTATCTGCACAAGAACACTGCAGCTTAGAAGTATCAGCTTAGAAGTTCTAACACTGAAAAAGAGATTTTAACTGCAGGAGAGCAACACACAGTTCATTTTACATACCCCATAGTTTATCCTTTCCCTCTCCTACAACTCCAATCCAGTGTTCCACGTCAAACATTCATAACATCTGGAAGTAGCAGCAAGTGATTTGAGCACCTGAAGAAAGTTTCTTGGGGCTAACCTTCTCTTCTGCTCGACAGTAATGCTCTCTGCACATGCACCAGGCTTGCAAACTAGACACCAAACTACGGATCACTCCAACCAAAGGATCACTCAGACTGCCCACTCTACACTCGACCAGTTAAAACCAGTCTAGCGATGTACATCTCTGACAGACGCTGCTTGAATTTTGCCGGGCTTTTGTCTCTACTGGTGATACAGGGTGACAATACAGAAAATGGGTCAGGCGGTGCAAAGCAGAACAGGGCAGCGGTAGAACATCCCGCATCACAGCGAAGGCTGACACGCTGCAAGTCGGAAAAGAGGACCCGCAGCGACTGGGAAAGGCCAGGAACAGGAGGCACAAGCGCAAAAGGACAGTGAAGAAAAGCTGACCTAAATACTGTACTGCTTTGCTAACAGGCTTTAATTAGTACGAGCAATTAGGTTATTGCTTTGAAAAACGAGTACAGCTGAACTATAAGAAGAAAGGACAATCTTGAACATATGAACTGCTTTAATAAACGAGAACAGTCTCCCACCACCCAGCAACAACCTAGTCCAGAGCTATTGCCTACATACTTCCATGCGATAAGGGTGTATGTATTTGGGGCAGAAAGGAGAACAACGACTTGAAGTTAAATATGATTTTTTTCTTACAACATTCAATGTCTCTTAAGAAATTAAAAAACACCTCCAAACCACTTTCTAACAAACTTTTAAAAGACACTAGTGTGGATGAGAGGAAGTACCATGAAAACGATGCTGTAATATTTACTTAAAACTTTTATATACAATCAGATTATATTTGTTTGATGCGGGGCGGAAGTCAGCTATGTCTTTTCTAGAAAAGAGCTACTTTGTCCTTTTTTTTGTGAAAAAACAGAGTCCCCTCTAAATACAAAACTGCCAGTGTACTTGTCCTTCTAAAAAGTACAAAGAGCATAAGCTTACCAAGATGTTCAAATACTTTTAGTTAGCACTTTATTTTTAGTTTATTTTAGAGTCAGCAACTTCATTTTTGCAAAACATTTGCAAACACGTACCTTTTGTAAAAGTTATGTGGCATCACTTAATACTAAACTAGTACTGGTTTTAGTGCCTATCAAAAGGGGTTCATTTACCTTTAACACCCCAGAACTAAAGAGGTAGAGAAAGTCACCGCAGGAATTAAACTCCACTTACTACAACGTGGTAACTTACAATCAGTTGCTCTCAGTCACTTTTTACCTTCTCCCTTACTAGGGACTCGCTCATGGCTTCACCATATGATTATAAAACTTTACAAGATGGAACTAAATTGATATAGTTCTACACAGAATTATTCATCTGCACAGAATACACTGGCCTTCCTTCGGATGGGTATTCCATGAAGCAAAGAAGTGAGGTACATATGCTAAACTGCAACAAAACATTCTTGAGAGAAGACTGTCCCAGGTTAATGATCTCAAACAAGCTTTTCAGCTTTCTGTTGTCAGGTCCTTACCATTTAGATATGTGCAGATAAAACTGCCAGGAAGACTGACACTTTCAAAGGTTCAGTCACTTTTAAGGTCACAACTAAGATGAACACCTGATTCATCTGATCCAGCAGCACAATCCCTTGTTTCTCTAGTTGTGGAGTAGAGTTACCCAAGTCTGGCTGAGGACAATTTGGAACAATCTTCAGTCAATTACATGAAATGGTGCATAACATGGATCACAGAATCTCATCTGGAGAGTCCTTAGTCACATCTAGACTTCTGACTGTACTAGACAGCTAGTCAGTATCTATAAACTTTACATAAAGCCTGGAAGGATCAAAGTACACACTATACTGTCCCATGAATTACTGGGAAAATTACTTTTAATATTAAAATATATACTAATTTCAACCTGATTACACTCCTTTTCTCTCTAGAGTTTTACTACTATTTTATCTCTACTAGAGAGGAAGAAGTAGAAAAGAAAATGTATTGCTTCTACTGTTGGGTTGTTTTTTTTTTTCCTGTTGGATAAGACTCATCTCCCAACTAGTCATTAGATGCTTTACAACCTCAATGCTCAGATTTACTAATTAATTTCCCTTTTTTTTTTTTTTTCTAGATAAAGTAAAAGGCTTTCTTATGGGCAAATTCTGACTTAAGCGTATTTTGAACTCACCTGTCATTAAAAGTCTTGGCTGATGTTAACTATGGCACCTTTCTTTGTACAACACATTTTTCAGGCCTTTCAGTCTAAAATTCTTTTAATTATCAATCTCTGACTAACTGCCACAGTTACTCCAGTCATCTTGTTTAGGTTTTCTAAATAAAACGCATCATTAGTTGTGCCTGTTCTCTCATTCTTCTAGCATTCCAGAGTTGATTAAATGAGCCTCAATGGCTCAAGAATTCTCCATCTAATTAAAAAAAATGTCTCCTGAACACAGATCTTCTGTTTCTTAGGAACTTAAACACAGTTTTGCTGCAATAAGCCTTATTTTTCTATTAGGATCCATTTTATGGTCTTTTTGTTCTAAATTTCCTATCACTTTTGATTTTTTTTAAACAATGCTATTACTCTTTTGGTCCAAGAAATCGTAAACTTGTTTTTTACTCACAATTCGAAGTAATTTGTTTAAAACAGCTTTTCCCAAATTGAAGTCTGGACAAAATAAAGGTCTTTGTTTGCTTAGTTCCTCTGATTTCTGATGATTGTAACTAATGATTACAGAAATCGCTTACTGTTTATCACAGCAAGTTATTTCAATAAACTTCCTTTTTAGAAGCAGGAACACAATCTCAGGCTTGCATCATGCATGACTATTTTACAAACTTTGTGTCTAATTTCTCCCAGTTAAAAAGGGATGGTCAATGCAGAAGGAAAGAACAACTGAAAAAGCATAATTGTTGCCTACTAAACTACCTAGAACTAAAGAAAGTTGTAGGCGGTGTAGCGATCTATGATCTCCACTTGGCGTAGGAGATTGGAACAATGAGATTGTTAGAAAACAAAGCAATTTGGTTATACTAAATCCAGCTGAATTGAAGCATTTTCTTCAATTCAGCTGGATTTAGTATAACCAAGGTCCCCGTACCAGGATGAGAAGCAGTCTGACCCCACCCAAGACAACAGGGAACAGTATTTGAAGGTTCTATTATATGATATTTCAGCACCAAAGATAAACTTTAAAGATTTTGGCCTGATGGGGAAAGCCTGTAACGAAAAGTATGCCTTACAAAAGGCAAAACAGAAGAAGTTATTCAACCTTAATTTTCCTGGTCAGCTGTTTGCTTTAGACACACCCTTACCTTCTCCATTCACTAGCCTTCTCGTATGTACTTTCAACAATATTCATCCCTAAAAGACTCAAATTCAGTTCTGCAACAAAATTAAATATAACTTTGCTAACTTTCAGAGTTCTTCTCTGTAAGTCTATATTAAAAACTCCTGGACCTTCAGGGCCTTATTCAGTATGGAATTTACCATTAATAGATCCTCAGAATAGTTATCTGCTAATTATGGGTCTCTCCTATACCTGTTTCCCCTCACTCCTTTGTTCTTGGAGGGAATAAAGATTGATAGCAAATACACTCAACAGATACAAAGATGTTGGTTGACGTACATGCAATAAATCAACAGATACCAATTGCTAAAAATCCCTGAATGTTTCACCCGGACCGTGCACTCTCAAGAGGTACAGAACCAGAGCTTGAATGGAAGAATCAGCAGCCACTACCCTTACAAGTTCTTTGGTCTATTATCAGCTAAAAATCAGAGGCTGAGAACCTTTAGACGGTTCTTCATCCACCCCACTTTAATTTTGTTTGTCTGACGTCCTGCTCTGTTGGAGGTGTGACACTATGCCTTCTGTAAGCTCTCCAACACAGTACCGTCCTGACACTGATTGTTAAAAGTTCTCTGTTCTACTCTACTTGAGAAGACATTCATAAGAGAAACAAAAAAGGAGATCCATTATTCAACAGACTGATTTTTTAATTATTATTTACTTTTTTCAGTGTCACGCCCACCAAACAGCATCCATTTCCTTGATCTGGCGTACTGCAGAACCCATGCTACCAGCACAATAAAGGTGGCAGAAACTGAATGGGTAGGGAGGCGAGTGGCAGGGTGGAGTTATGCTGGATTAATCATGGTCTCGGGCAAATCATGACTTAGAAAGCTCAGTAACATTTTAGCAATTTTTTGTGTTACTGTAATGTGGCAAGTATAACAAAAAGACTACTACACCAGTGCATAATTTAGACATCACCTTCTTCCATATCCAAATGCAGCTTTAAACAAGTTCAGAAAATAAAGGATCAAGTCTAGCCACAGTATCCCTCCTGCATTCAAATGACTGGCTAGACATATACATTGGGATGAACTGTTATCTTTTAGCAAAGGAATCCCTTCATTTTCCAAGTAGCATTGATGCAAGCATATTTTGGAATGAAAGTTGTCATAGGCAGAAGGTATTATTAGCATAGCTACTGTCACTGAAGTATACAACAATCAGTAAATTTCTAAAAAAACCCTCACAAACTTGAATACATTCCATGCCTAATTAAAGAGAGAGTTGTAATTCCTTTCTGTGCCTTGGAAATGTCTATTAAAAATTAATGCTGTATTTTTACTGTACAGCTCTTTCATCATTGTGTTTTCACATCACTCAGACCTTCAAATTTCAGGCCTAGTTAGTGAACTAAATTTATAAACATCTTCACATGGAGTTAAAGTGGAAGTAAAACAATAATACTGAGAGATTTACTAATCATAAATATCTTATTTAATTTCCACTTATTTCTTCAAGACAGAAGAAATATCCCTTTCCTGTATTAGGAAAAAAAAAAAGCTTAAAGTGATACACCAAGTGAAGAAACAGAAAATGGGGACAGCCTTATGATACTGAAATAAGTAACTAAGATCCTTCTAATAACAAGCATTAGCAAAACGGTGTGGAAGTGAGACACAGAAAGTGGTCTTTACCACTGTGATGCCATACCTAAAGGAATGCGTTGTCCACAAAATGATAATCTAGCTTTATGAAAATCATTCTCTAGATGATTTAACAATTGCAGAAGAGATGCTGCATCC